TGCACACCCTCAAAAATGCAATGACCCCCCCCCCATGTACAGAAAAGTGACCGTTCCGCTTCGAATGTTCGTACATGGAAACAATTTTCGGCTCTGGTGTCACCTTCGCCAGGTGGGGCATCTCTATGCAGAGAGTCCATACAGTCAACACCTCCCCCCATTACTACAACCTCCCGGGACGACTAGAGAGGAGGTGTTTGAGCAAATTTTATTTTCCCAAAATTCCTCCTCTCCTCCTGAGCTTTTCCTCTCCTCCTAGTCAGTACAACGGTGCCGCATCTAACGACAACAGCGCCCAACTTTAATTTTCATCTGCTCAAATATGCAGCTACTGATTTCACTCAGATTGCAACAGTGTGTTCATTGTTGCGAACTTAAAAGTACATCCTCCGTTGAGTTGAATGGAGTAGTGCCTGCGTGAGAAGAATTGGCGGATTCCGCAAACGCAGGACAGTGAAGATGGGCTGCGTAGCAAAGACGCTAGTGGCTTATGAAATAGATCTGGGAATGCCCATGAAACAAGATTCGCCCACAAAGTCATTGGCATTGGTAGTGTATTCAAGTGATGTCAGCGTCTCTTGATGCCTGCTCCCTCTTCTTGACCCCGCTATCTTTTCGCCTAAGCTGTTATTCTCAGAAGCGCCTTCATAGAGAAACTATCAAGGGCTTATTTTGTTTTTTCATCGGTGAAATCTTCAGCATTTACAATTTCATGTGTGGTCCACACTACCTATGCCTTTGTAGAGAGTGCCTTTAGGTTTTCTTCAGCCGAACTACCTTCAAAAAAGGATGCAAAATGGTCGGTTCTGTTTCAGGTACTACGATCAGTTAACAGTATTTGAGAAAAGGCTCGAGCATTCATCAAGCCCAACATCTCGAAGGCTTCAAATGGAATGATGCATTCGAGGCGGGAAAATCATTCCTCAGCAAGGTAGAAGAAAAATTCACGAATTCGCTAGGACAAGCCAGGAACTCTCCACTGGGTCGAAGATGCGGAACCCCTGTTGAAAGGCAGTGAACACAATTTTTGGGGGCGGAGCGGTTTTATGACGAATTCCACAGGTCGTCCTTGGCGGAAGAGCAGCGTGGGCGGTGTCCTAAATCACCACTTCTGTCCACTGAAGTACCCCGATTCACAGTGACATTCAATACGTCACAACATAGCTCCGCCCTCCAACCTCGCGTCACTGCCTTTAAGTCATTAGTTTCCGCCGCTTGCTTGGCCATTGGTGTTCATTCATTTCTCAAATGCACACAAATTCTCCAAAATTCAGTCGCAGAAACTCCGTCGCAGACACATTCCTCGAACGAGCTGCAGTACTATTCAACTACGGTGCTGTGCTTTCCGCAATAGCCGCTTCTCAGTCGTTTCTTACCGATGACGAGACGAAAACCGCCGCCAAACTCTTCCAGCAAAGTGCCGGTATGGAGGATAGCTATCGATTTTACGCGTTTGACATTTTCTTGCCAAGACAGCTCTCGGGAGACTGCAAGGAAAGCTTTCTGCAAAATATATAAATTCATTATAGGAGTGTTCGCTCACCTTCGGGAATCTTGATGCATACTTTCGATCCGAAAAACTACACAACCGATTTGGTGCCAAGCACGCTTACAACGTTGTCGAGTATTATGCTCGCCCAGGCTCAGGAATCTTTCTACAGGAAGGCCTACCAGTAACATCAATGACAGAAATTGGTTTAATAAGCAGTGACCATCAATGGCTAAAGACGTCGGTTTCGGTGACGTCATCAGGCCCTCATCGTGGCAGTTGGTACCGCCCCACAACGTCCTCCCACCACTAATGACATTTAACGACGTCATCGAAATCGCACCGCCCTTCAGCCATCATGATCAGTGCCTTTAGGGCTACCTAGATGGGCGGCTCCAGGTGGCCTTAGATGACTCATCAAAAATGACTGATGACCATTTCGTTCAGAGAAAATGAACCCATCAGCTCTGGTTAAGATAGCCGCCCAGACCGGATTTTCTACATGGAAGCCAGCAAATTAATGGATATCTCAAAAAGTTACTGGAAGAAGGTAGTTTCTTTACTCTTCTCATTTTCCCTAGCTTTACCCCAAAATCTTTGCGAGCATTTAGGAGTGGTTGAACGTAATTTCGGGGAAAGCGCTCGGATTTCAAGCTATTGCCGAACTGCATCAAGCACAGGTAACGTGCATCAGATTGGGAGCTCTCAGTGCCTGAAGGCTACCCGATTGCTACCCTCCCATTGTTCAGGTACACTGAACCCACGATAGCGAGCGCTTGTGCCGATTGAAGCAAGCGTATGAGCTTGTGGAGAAGATGAAGAGACGTATGCAACCGTCTTGCCTTCGTGAACAAATCTCGGAAATCGAAAATGCCCACAAATCCGCCACAAGTGATCAATCGCCTTATTGTGGGTCGATCATATGCTTGATATTTGTGCTCATGCAGTTGAACAGAGCATGCTGCGTTTTTGGACTCTCGGGTTGTCTCATTGGTGGGGAAGAATTCAATAGAAAGTGAAGTGATTTGGCGCTAACATTACGCAGATACGGGACATCCTCTAATGCTAGACTAGGCGAGCGGAGCAGGAACTTTGGGGGAAAATAAAAACTGCTGCTCGCGCACCCTGGAGCCTCTACTCCCCATACAAGGCTCAGTACCGATTTCATCGAAAGAAGATGTTTTACTGAGTTTCAAATGCAGTGCCACCACAATGCCCTCTATCTTGCGATAGCGCCGTAAAATTTTTTGAGACTTTTCTGCCTACCTACGCAAATCCCCCTCCCGAATTTCTATGGCTATCCCATTTTCAGATGCAGACCTCACCCCTCCTCCCCCTTCACCCCACATTTTCAGCTTCGGCCAGACCTTGCCTGTCCATGCCTACTAATAGAATTCTTTGATTGAGGCCGCGATTCCCAACTGGGAATTGGTTTAAATGAAAGCCGATCGATAATCGATTAGAGTTGGGCCACATCAAGCCTGAGTCGATACCCGCCGAAAAATTGTGACTGTACTAGCGCTTAAAATTCCACAATCCACAAATGGGCTCCGGGATATGGTCTACTACCCGTCTTAGCCTTCGGTGCCGAAACGAAGGCTACATTCGTTATCGCTAAGGAAACGCTTTCTTTCTTGTGCCTATTTTCCAAATTAGAACCCCTAGTGAATAGAAATCGAGGCAAGCACTCGTTCTTCTTGTGTGTGAAGCTCCGCCCTCTCTAGTTTACACCCCGCCCACTTTTCGAAGTCATGCATCTATTAAGAACAGCGATCTGATAGCTTGGACCTAACACTATTCCATTGCAGTACCATGAACGAATTCCTGACTTCTTTACGCTACCCGCTCTACCACGAGCAGTTCTAGCAAAGCCAACTCCTGTGGAGAAGCAGCTTTTCCCCGGGTTCAAAGGTTTGTTCTCTATTATACAGGTATTGTAAGCAGTCATGATGAGCTAGATGAACCGATTTAACTCACCCCAATTCAGACGTCTTCGCTGCGGTGGTTCCTGAAACGACCGTGGTAGCCCTGAAGAAGTTCGACAAACTGAAGGCAGAGCGACTTCAAAGGTTGAAGGATCGGCCTTTCCGAGCAAACGGAGCTGATGGATGGGTGAGTTTCGGTGAATCGACCCTGTAATAAACCTCATAAAGTGGCTAAATATTCTATACTTATCGATCCTGAGAGGT